TAAACCCTAGCCCCTAATCTCTAAACCCTAAACCCTAAACGTAAACCCTAAACGTAAACCCTAAACCCTATCCCCTAACCCTAAACCCTATCCCCTAACCCTAAACCCTATCCCCTAACCCTAAACCCTAACCCTAACCCCTATCCCCTAACCCTAAACCCTAGCCCTAAACCCTAAACCCTAAACCCTAAACCCTACTTTATAGTTAGCAACAACGGCCTCAAGATACCAATCGGGGCAGAGAAGGGGGAGAGAGTGTTTGCTTCTGTTTGTGTGTTTTCTTTTGCATCTGGGTCCTTGCTTGCAGTATCCGAAGAAGTAATGAAGACATTCCTGCTGCTGCTGCTGCTGCTGCTGCTGCTGCTGCTGCTGTGCGTAGTTGCTGCTGCTGCTGCTGCTGCTGCATAACATACGGCATATATCAGAACCCACCAAATCCTCCACCGTCTCGTTCTGCTGCTCGTGACGGTACACGCAGCAACCCCTGAACACAGCAGCAGCAGCAGCAGCAGCAGCAGCAGCAGCAGCAGCAGCAGTAGTAGTAGTAGTAGGATGAGGCATTGAGCAGCAGCAGCAGAAAAAGCAGCAGCAAAAGACCTGCTGCTGCAGCGACAGGAGACATCAAGCAGTAGCAGCAACAGCAGCAACAGCAACAGCAGCAGCAAGAAGAGGCAGCGACGCAGCAGCAGCAGCAGCAGCAGCAGGAAACAGCTACCGGTAGCAGCAGAGGCACAGCCACGAACAGCAACAGAAGCAGCAGCAACCACAGCAGCAGCAGCAGCAGCAGCAGCAGCAACACAAACAACAACCGCACCACCACAACAAAAAAAACAACAACAAACACCAGCAGCAGCAGCAGCAGCAGCAGCAGCAACACAAACAACAACCACACCAGCAGCAGCAGCACCAGCACCACCCCACCACCGCACCACAAACAACAACAACAACAACCACCACCACCACCACCAGCATCACCACCAGCATCACCAGCAGCAGCAGGAGCAGCAGCAGCAGCAGCAGC